AGATTTCGGATAAAAAGAAGCGCGTAATCCTGAGCATACGCAGTTGGACGACACACAGTCCTAGATATATACGTGTATATATATTTTTTTTTTAAAGAAAATTGTGCTGTTAGTACCACTAGGTTAGCTCACTCCTGCTCGCCATTATGAGGTGGACGGGATACCCCTGAAAAAGGACATTCTATTATGGTTTTCTTCCCCCTAAAAACTGTTCTTGCATGCAATTCGACCTTGAAATAAGAACACCACACTTCAGTCCCGTCGCTGCCCGGATTCGAGGTGCTGCTTGTGTAGCACACAGTTAAAGCTTCCTGCCCGTTAAACCCTGTTTCCCCGCAGGAGAACGTTGACCAGATGCCCACTGGTCTGATGTTGATAGGAAACAAACAAGACCTTGAGGACATGAACGAGAGAGAGGTTTCCACGGAGACAGGGGAGACTTTTGCCAAGGTATCTACCTCCCCCATAGTACATACCTACCCCCTCCTCATGCATGAGTATGCATTATTATATTGACTCCCATACCCCCCCTATCATGAGTATGCTTACTATATACCCATACATTGCCTCCCATTGTCTCATGTCTCCACATTATGGTTATGTGGCCTTCATGTCCCTACATTGTGGCTACTGCTAGCGCACTGTATCATTTTCATGGATTTTTTTGGGACTAATAAGTCAAAGGGGGAGACTTAGAGTTCACTTTGTCTAATGTCTATGGTTCAGTGCACCTTGCATATGTATGTACATATGTACAGTAACAATAGACCATGAGGTTGCTCTCTCTCTCTCTCTCCTCTCTAGATATACAATGCTCAGTTCATGGAGACCAGTGCAAAGTCAGGATTCAATGTCGGCAATTGTCTCATGAACCTTGTCAGGTCTGTCACCACACATACTCACATGCGCGCACACTCACACGCATGCCCCGGTAGCTGAGTGGTAGAGCACTTGCCTAGACTGCACGGGTGTGGTGGGTTCGAATCCCACCCAGGCAGCTCTTCTTTTTCCTTGAAAAGAAAGAGCTGTTCTGGGTGTAGTTGACTCTTTTGCTTTGCCTTTCTGCCTCGTTGGTACACACACACGCACGCACGCACGCACGCACACATACATACACTCCTTCCCCACCACCCACAGTGAATCTCAAAAGCACACAGCACTCATGAATCCCTCCCCTCCTTCCTCCCTCCCACAGAACAATCAAGATCTACTACGAGCAGGACAGTTCGGAGCGGAGAGAGAGAGGTATTCAAATCAACAACAAACCCAAGAGCTCCGGTTGCTGTGGCAGATAGTGTCAGACTCAGTCCTCATGAATCATTTTTCTGATCCCATACTAACATCTCTACCGCCGCCATGTACTACATCTTCACTGTCTCTTGTCACTTTCACAACAATAATAATAATACGGTGTGTTTTTTGAGTCAATAACAATCCCATCATTGTTTTGTACAGCTATTATTGCAATTTTTGACGTGAAAAAGAGGATTTGCACCACTCAGCAGGAAATAAAACCGAGAATGAAATCGTGAAAGTCGCGATTGTTGCTTCGGAACTATTATATAGGTGATACAGTGAAACCTCCGAAAAAGGACCCTCCGAGTATATAACGGACACTTTAAACCCTTTGCCAGCGTTTTACATATATATATATGCACAGAGCTTCCATAAGTCCATAAGAATTTATATAGCCCTATAATACTAGGCGTTAATATTATGTACATCAATTTCTGCTTGGTTAAGGAAACAGCCATAGCGCCGTAAGGGACCCTCGGTTCTTCTTCATACTAATACATTCTCAATTGTCTACTCTAACCACTAGCCTTGGCCCTACCCGTAGTCCATTGTCTATGATTTATATAAAGTAAGAACTGAATGAAGAACGCCTCTGAATAAAGGACAATGTCCCAGGGTCTCTTATTCAGAGGTTTGAGGCTTCACTCGCTGTGCACTACACACTACACACACATGCACACAAGCAATAGTCCAATGTGTGTGTATAATTATACATCAGTCTCTCATGATCTTGACATAGTTGGCAGGGAAGATCCCCACACGGTCCTCCAACTTGCCCTCCCACCAGTCAAACTGGTTGTCCGTCCTGGTCAGAACCTCTATGATCTGTCCCTTCCGGAACTCAAGGTCGCTCCGTTGGCCCGACTTGAAGTTGTACAGTGTCTGCACCTTCAACTTTTCCTCCCAGTTTGCCTCCTTGGAGAGGTTGTACTTGTAGACTCTCTCCTTACGGCTGGATTGACGAACAGGTCTCCGTGCTGGCTTGGAGGAGGTCTTGTTGATGTGAGGTCTAAACTTGTTGAGGAGGGAGGGTTTGGGCGGGCGGTGGTCCGAATGGAACGAGGAAGGAGCTGCTGCTGTTGCCTGGTGGTGGGGTTGACTGGAGGAGGGGGAGGAAGAGGAGGAGGTGGAGGAGGAGGAGGGTTTGGCGGAAGGTTTGGGCTGCGGGGGTGGGGCAGCCACAGGAGAGGACTCTCTGCTTCCACCTTCTCCCAAATAGCGGTTGGTGAGGTCGTCCTTCACGCCATCTGCCGCTCCGGAGATGGCGGCTCGCCCAGCAGACCTACCGGCCTCAGACTGAGCCGCCTTCTTGCCGAGTTTGGCCGCTCCTGATCCTACCGCCGCTCCGAACTTTCCCATCGACTCCCCTCCCTCTGTATAAAACAGTAGAGTTACTTCAATACATCACACCCGTACTGCCTCGAGACATACCAGCCATTCTAGTCCTATATGAGCCAGGTAAAGTCAGTAGCTTGAAGAGACAAGCGAGCACAAACACACCCAGAAGTACACAGCGGAGGTCAAAGTGCAATAGTTTAGCCACACCTATATTGAGCTCCTCCCACCGATAGCTCCCGACGAACTGCAAGCCAGCTAGCTAGAGCAAAATAATGAGTGCTGCCAGTAGTCTGAAAGCTACTGATTCTGTGCTAATCACGGCTATAGCTCCCGGGTATTCTCTCCAACCCTCCCAGACCACAGAAGCAGCAGGAGGGAGAGGGATACGGAGGCAAGCAGGAGGAGAAGGAGAGGCTACCTTGTGTGGAGGCAGTGGGTTTGTGAGGCAAGGAGTCGTTCTGACTTCAGCAACATGGCTGGCCAATCTCCTAACACTGAGACATCGTAATTCACATTCCGTGGATTCTAGTCCAGGTTCCATTCCAACTGCAATAGAATGGGAACTGGCAGAACCCAATACTTCATTCCACATTCTCTACCAGACCACACCGGACCGTATATGTACCACCGTAGGACCATCAGGGACCAAAGCTCCGAGCCACAATCAGTGGTCGAGCACTGGTCTGAGTGTTAGGAAGGCAGATATAGACTCAGTTCTGTTCCTAAGAGATGTGTACATGTGTCTGGAGAGCCAGCTTCAGACAATGGGCCACTGGAGATGTGACCTGCAGACTCTGCCAGTCCAGGGGGCTAGGAAGGGAGGAGGAGGAGGAGAGGGGAAGGGGAGGTGGGAGTTGGTTAGTCTGGAGAGCTTGCTGCTACCTCTGTCTTGTGTCGTGGTACTGAAAGTGGAGGGACTCCAACCCAGGTGTCGGTGTAACTTATGAATAAGGGACACCTTGGGGAGATTAAAAGTGCCTTTTATTCAGAGGTGTCCCTTATTCTAGGGT